AAAACTCCAATCCACCCTATCAAAACTCACCATTATCATTAATATCATTTTTTTATTATTATTTTGAAACCCTAAACCCTAGAAGCAAATTTGAACAATCAAACAATAAATGAAAGTGATAAGATAATTTTTTGAAGCAACCTATCAAAGAGGAGGTAAGCATTCATATAAAAATCAAAATAAAATTATTAATTTCTGTATTTTGTTACATGTCCCATTAGGATGTTAAATCTTTCAATTTTCAGAATCATATAAATAGCATTACAGCTTTTAATAAAAAATTTCTTTAAGATAATCTCTGAACTCAATGATCATATTAGTATCTTTCACACAAAAAACAAGCTATATCCTGCGGTGCTTTTTAATAATTTTTTTTTTTTTTGTTATCCTTTTACTCTTTCTTTCTATTGAACTTTATGTTTGTTCTGGAAAAAAAAAATTATTGTTTCTATTATTTTCTTCTTACGTATTTTTTATGCACATACACTTAAATTGTGAAAAAAAATATAGAAACAAATTCAATAAAAGAGGTAAGCCAAGCAAGGTAGTAGAGTGTTTTCCCATTCAAGCATTTTGTCAAACGCATAGTAATCAACAAATTAGAATAGCAAACCAGCAATAGAATTGTTAAACACATAGTAATCAACAAATCCATTACGATATTAAATCTTTCAATTTTCATAATCATATAAATAGCATTATAGCTTTTAATAAAAAATTCTTTGAGTTTGAACTCAATGATCGTATTAGTATCATTCACACAAAAAAACAAGCTATATCTTGCGGTATTTTTTAATATAAAAAAAATTTCTGTCTTTTTATTCTTTTTTTTCTGTTAAACTTTATGTTTGTTCTTAAAAAAAAGAAAAAAGAAAAAATTATTGTTTCTATTATTTTTTTCATGCGTATTTTTTATGCACATAAATTGTGAAAAAAAAATATAGAAACAAATTCAATAAAAGAGGTAAGCCAAGCAAGGTAGAAGAGTGTTTTCCCATTCAAGCATTTTGTCAAACACATAGTAATCAACAAATTAGAATAGCAAACCAGCAATAGAATTGTCAAACACATAGTAATCAACAAATTGTTATAGCAAAATAGCAAGAGAAGAAAGAGATACAAAAAAAACAGAAGCAAGGAGATGAAGCATGTCAATGGTAACTCTGATTATGGAGTCCTTCGCCGGTGCCTCCTGTGTATCAGTTTGAAATGTTTTTCAAATACTTTTTTTTTTTTAATTTGATTATTATTTATTATTTGGGTTTATTAAGGGTAACTTAGGAAAAATTATAGGGTGTATTCAAAGTAATATAAAATTTTAAATAATTGAAAAGGTTATACTTAGAAATAGAGAGTACTTAATGATTTTTTTGGAATAAATAGAATCCTCCATGATATTAAGAATTTCTTATCTAGCAATTTTGATATGAAGGATTTAGGCCCAGCTAATGTTATATTCGGTATTAAAAAAATTAAAAGTGATAAAGGAATTATTTTGTCACAAGAACATTATGTTGACTAATTGCTAAAGAAATTTAATTATTGTGATGCGGAAGTTGTCTCTACTCCATTTGATCCTAATATTCGCTTAAAGAAAAATTATGGGTGAAAGTATATCGCAACATAAATATGCTCAAATAATAGGATCTTTGATGTATCTTTCTAATTGCGCAAGACCTGATATTTCTTTTGTTGTTTGTAAACTAAGTCGTTACACTATTAATCCTAGTTTAGAGCATTGAAATACAATTGAAAGAATTTTTAAATACCTTAAAGGTACAATAAATTATGGAATTCAATTTTTGTGAATTTTCTATTGTGCTAGAAGGATTTAGTGATGCTAATTGGATAACTGAATCTAATGAAACTAAAGTAACTAGTGGTTATGTGTTTCCTTTAGGTGGTGGTGCAATAGCTTGGAAATCTTCTAAACAAACTATTATATCCAGATCTACCATGGAAGCAAAACTCATTGCCTTAGATTTGACTTGTACTGAGGCCAAATGACTAAGGAATTTATTATCTGATTTACCATTATCTAATAGTCTTATACCTGCTATCTCTATTCATTGTGATAATCAAGCTACAATTGCTAAAGCAAAAAATGCAAATTTAAACGAGAAAAAGAGACATATTAGAATAAGACATAATTCTATTAAACATTTATTATCTCAAGGTGTTGTAGCACCTGATTTTGTGAGGTCTGAAAATAATATAGCAGACCCTTTTACTAAAGGATTAGTGCGCAGGCTAGTCGTTGAATCATCGAGGGGAATGGGACTGAAACCCATAAATTAGTCATCTCAATGGATACCTAACCTTTGTGATTGGAGATCCCATGAATAAGGTTCAATAGGTAATAATGAAGTTGATGTGTGACTTGGAAGAGCACTAAAAATATTAGAGGGAAATTCCTTGGTCCTATTCCTATGGTGATAGTGCTCACTATCGTGACGGGTTTTAGGAAGAGCTTAGCTCTGAATGTATCTAAGGTAGGATTTCTACAGGGTGTTGGTCACAAATCACCCTTGGAGGATACACCTATATAAGTGTGGCAGTGGGGTCGCTGTTGTTGGAAATTGGGTTGCTCCCTAAAGACACTTGTAGAAACAAGATATGTGCGCATGACTGTTTAATGCGCAAAACCGTTCCAGAACCATGATAATTGCTCATGCTGTGCGTGTGGTGAGCCTATGTTTGATCACAAGGACCTTGTTCAAAACTTTGTTTACTATGGTTTCTTCAAATAGAAACTTATTAACACTAACTGGAGGTTCAAGTCTGGAAGACACCAACACTCACTGTGCAGCAAAAACACTCTTTTCGATTTTAAATTATGTGGGGGATTGTTATTTTATATTTTTAAAAATGTATTTAAGTTAATTTATTTTATTTGATATTTGCATCTTTTTAGGAATAAGTTTATAATGTTAAATTAGTTTCCTAGTCTTTGGGTTATCCTACAATGTCTCCTAAATATTTGAATTATGGTTATTTAATTGTATATATAATAAGACTTCAACGTTGTTCTCTAAATAGACATAAAAATAAAAAAATAAAAAGAAGAAGAAGAAGAAGTCTTTCTTCTCCTCTTCTTCTACTCTGTTATATATTTTGTGAGTTTACTGTATTGAGTTTACAAGTGAGTGTTGGGCAATTTAAGGTTCATGAATTTACTTTTGCTGCACACAAGTGATTTTGAAAATCGTTGTATCTTGGGGGAGAAACACCATTCAACTCGGTGCAGATAGGGATGGCAATTTGAAACTGATCTGACGGGAACCCGACATCCCGATCCTGATTGGAATAGTTTTTTTCCAAAAAATACCCCCAATGGGCCGGGGATGGTATTCAAAAATAATTCCCAATCATTTTCGAGCCAGGGACGGTGATACCTTCCCTAACCCCGAACCCACCCCATCCTCGGCCCCATCCCCATTTACCTCTGATATGAAATTACCACTGTACCCCTCTCTATATATATTTGAAACTGATCTGACGGGAACCCGACATCCCGATCCTGATTGGAATAGTTTTTTTCCAAAAAATACCCCCAATGGGCCGGGGATGGTATTCAAAAATAATTCCCAATCATTTTTGAGCCAGGGACGGTGATACCTTCCCTAGCCCCGAACCCACCCCATCCTCGGCCCCATCCCCATTTACCTCTGATATGAAATTAACCACTGTACCCCTCTCTATATATATACAAATATATGTTTTCTCTCTTCTTTCACTCATTTTAGGCTCCTTCTCTCTGATCTCCCTCCCTCCAATCTCTCTCTCTAAAACCCTCCCTCCGATCTGTCTTCTCCAAAGCCCCTTATCTCTCTCTCTCTCTCTCTCATCACCGCAGATCGCCGTCGTCCTTCCATCGCTAGAGGTTTGGAATATGGTGAAGGTAGGGTACCACAAAGATTGAAGATGATCAATGGACGCTGCAGTGATGGAGGGGTTGGGTTTTCTATGCTAGCTCCTGTTGGGTACTTGTGTAGAACTCTTCAAGGCATGCTTGTATTTTTGGCTCATGTTTCAGTTCCACTTCGCATGTTGTTGCCCTTTTGGATAAATTGCAATCTTAACTTTGAATTGGCAATATTTATTTTGTTGATGTTTGCTGCTGAAATCATTGATGTTTTTGATTTGTTCGTAAGACTTTTTTTAGGTAAAAGCTATTCCAACCATATGTATCCTCTTGTTTCCGAACCTTTCAATCATGAAGTCTTTCCATTGTTGAACTCACAGATTTCCTTCGATTGCATACCATGCTTGCAATTTGTTCAGTTATGTGCCTTCTTGAAATTGTGTTTAGTATAACAAAACTAGGATTCAAGTAGATAATGTTACACTTTGCCAAACTATTGCAGTTTTAGATGTTTTGTGTTCAATAAGACAGAGCTCCCATAGCCTTTGCTTCTTCTTTTAGTTGATCTGGTTCTAGAAATCATTTACAATACATATATTTTTATTTTTTTTGCTTAATCAAACATGAGAATAAACATTTCAATCTTGTTGTTGTTGAATATATATGTTGTTTTTTTTATTTTGGCTGGGAAATTTTCGAGGTCGGGAAAACCCGATCCCTGTTAGGAGGTGGAGGCGGGGGTGGTAATAGGCTCCCCGTCAGTGATCGGGGCTGGGGACGGGGAAATTTCTACCATCGGAGATCGAGGACGGGGAGTGTGATCCCAGGCCCAGGCCCCGCCCCGGTCTGTTGCCATTCCTAGGTGCAGAAGAGGGTGTATCGTTCCTAAGGAAAGCGCAATCTGCGTGCCTCGACCACTGTTCGGGCTCTCTAAACTCTCTCTATTAATAATATTTATTTGTTGTTTTTAGTTTATTATTAGTTTGGTATTTTCATTCTAATAGTAAATCCTTTTTAATTTTTCTGCCATTGCCAACTTGTGAAATATAGAAGTCAAAGTTGTGATCTAGATGACCAGTTAAATCAGTTCATCATCAACCCAAACTATGCAATTGAATTTTCAGAGAGTAAAATATAAACATAATAAGAGATTAAAACACCCTTTTATAGCTTTACCTATAGCTGCACTGGAATATTTTATGTAACAGAATCAATGCAAGTTACAGTTCATCCTACAAAGGGCAAGAATGGCATAAGGCCAACATTTGTGTACTAAGGAGGCTGATTTATAACAACAGGGAATCCTATAAAAATGTTGGTTTCCAAGGCGGGGAAGTAAGATGAGAAACTAAGCATCGTACTTGCAGAGGTTCTCAAAACCCATGTATTCCTGTCGCTGAATCTTCCCAATCATGTTCACTATGCCAATGCCACCTATCCAACAAATGCAAAAATGTATAAGAAATCAAGACTGACTTCATGCTCCGTTTGATTCAGCAGAAAACATTTTCAAAGGAAAAACATTTTCTACGAAAAACCTGTCTTAGAAAATGTTTTCCTATGTTGGTTGTGTAATGTACTAGTAGTGATTGTATTAGTGGTGATGGTGGCAGTAATGGTGATGGAAGTGTGATGGTACGGTGGTGGCGGGGTGATGGAGGTAGAGGTGATTGCGATTGTGATAATGTGGTGACATTGATAAGACTTTAGTCCGAAAAACGTCTTCCACCTTTCAAAAGTAAAAAAATATTTTCTGACCAATAAGCTTATTTTCTGTTAACTACGAAAAATGTTTTTTTGTTGACTTGTTTTTTGTTGTACAGAAAACTAGAAAAATAATAGGTGATGTGGGTTGTGATAGTATGGTGGTATTGATAAAACTTTAGTCCGGAAAATATTTTCCATCTTTTAAAAGTGGACATTTCTGCCCAAATAATTTCATTTTCTATTGAACATGTTGAAATTCGTTTTTTGTTGTACCAAAAATTAGAAAATGCTGAAAACACTTTCCGACCAAAAAAAAAGATCGTCAATAAACTGAAAAAATAAAACAACAATATTTAAAAATGTAAAGCAGCAGAGATTTGCGGTAACAAAGATGGGGAAGATCAAGCTCACCTAGTGAGATTGCGCTCACAAAGATCGTGAAAGCCAGAATGAAGATGATCAAAGATGCCCTTCCCAGTATGATGATCAGTCTTCTTACAACATGTTGCCCAATTAAAGCAGCAATAGTTGCCACAGCCATGAAGTAGAGAGCTGTCATATACACGTAGACAATAATCAAATTTAAAACAATCAGATGAACATAAGACAATATCTGCAGAAGAAAATTCCTGTGTCATTTCTACTCGGGTTTTCAGATGATTTCTTAAAAGAATAATAGGAATTGCTTCTATGAAGTATTTTGGAAGTATTACATTAACTTACCATAGGGAATCGGAAACCGTTTTAGAAGGTAATATTCTATGACAGACATTGATGAAGAGAAGGTCATTGCGAAGGTGGCCGTGGCACTTGAAACCTGAACAAAAATTCTCAAGGAATTTAGGACCAGACCAGACTGACCAGAGTAGACAGATTTTTTGAGATCACATTTTAGAAACTCCAATTAGTGTCTAATGTGAGGAAGTCATGTGATTTTTACCTAGAATTTCTGAGTTTCTAAGAAAGTTTCTACCTGAAACTGTTATGTGCCACACCCAATTTCCTCATCCAGACATTAATTATCAAATTATTCAACAACTATCCAAATAATGAAAACAGCTGAATTGATACTATTCTAGCTCACTCAAAATCATTTCTGGGAATGCAAGATAATTATTTTTTTGTTGTTGTTGCTAATGTTACATATAGTGGAGATGTATTGCAATGGTAAGGTGAATGAAGCATTAATTCTGTTAGTTACTTGGAACAAATTTCATTTTCCACAAAGCAAGCAGGTTTACTGAAGTCCAATATAAGTAGGAAAGGTATACATAACCAAGTAATAGTTATACAAAACAATGAATTAACCCATAGTAATTTTTTAATTTGGATTCAGTACTTAAAAAGTATAGCCATCATGAACTAAGAAGCATGAATATAGACGGTACACAAAGCAACATGATATAGACACACCAACACGACACAGGCTGTTACAACAATTTTCAAAAAATTAGAACACCACAAGGCACGGGCATGACAACAAATAAATACATATATTTTTATATTTATACATTAAAATATTAACTATTTCTTTATTTTTTACATTACAAATACATTTATATTTTATTATATCAAAACAGTAAGAACTTATTTTGCACATTTTAAATATTGAAAAAGAAATGCAAATAAAGCTTATTGGTGGTAGGACGGGCCACTTCAAAAGGTACACATATCTTTTCTAGGAAACTCTCATAAACAAAATAGAAGCTTTTAACTTTCAAATTCCCAAAATTAAAAGAGGGATTAATAGGTGTAGATCCACATTGTTTTTATTTTATCATTGAATCCTAAGTTACTTTATTTAAACCAGCAAAGTGTTTCATGTGTGTCTAAGTAATGGACACGTGTATCACCCAAGTGTTTGAAGCGTGTCTAGTTCGAGAAAAGAACAAAAAGAAAAAATAGGACACGTCTAAGTGTCCAGTGAGTATTAGTGTCCAACACGTGTGGCACCTTCCTAAAGAAATCGGTACTGCTCAGCTCATGAATAATGAAACATAAAATCACCACCCTATCTTGTCTTCCATTATTTTTTATTTTTTTATTCTTTTGGCTTCAATTCAATGTAATAATGAAAAAGCACAAAACTACCTGAGGAGGAACTCCCAGCTCCAAAAATAGTGGACCCAAAATAAATCCGCCACCTAATCCAAGCAGTCCACCAACCATACCAGCTACAACACCACAGAAGCAGTACAAAGCCAGCTGGTGTACATGGAAGTTAGTTCCATCCTCTCCTTTTGATGCAATCACTTTGTGTCCCCTGTACAGGCTGATTGCCTCATACAAAGTTACCCCAACAGAAACTGGGATCTGCAGGACATTCAAAAAGATGAATTTAAAAAGATACTTCAAAGCCCAGTTTGCATCAGTCAACCTCAAAACTATGAAATAATAAAAATACAATGTAAATCCCTTTCTTCAGATGAACTAATAAAAGGTACCTGTAACAAGTTCAAGATCCAATATGCTGTTGAACAAGTGACTGTATGAGTCTTTTTTCATTAGACAAAAATATTAAACCAATCAGTTCATGAATTCGTACATAAAAGAGAAATGAAATATAAGCTTTTTGAGAAAGAAAAAAATGAGGAAAGATTATAGAACCTTGGCGATCTGCAGTGCAAGGAATGTAACCCAAACAAAAATGAGAAGCCCAAGTTCCTTCCAGCAAACATTCTCAATTATACTGGCCTGGGATGCTTATATGTATTAGATTTCAGGACAGCATGGAACTGAAAACAGGTTGTAGAGGATACACACCTCTGGCTCTAAAGAACCCTTGGTCACATTTTGGTTGCCATTGTTTGGGCCGCCAGGAAGAAGCTTGTATTCTGCTCCTTCTAGATGTATGAGTATCCCACGTAAAAAGTTATGAGCAAAAGGTTCTATATGGTGTTGGTATAATAAAGTGAATAGTGGATCAACTTACCATTTGCCTCCAGACGCTTAGCAGCCTCCTGAAATCAGAGGAAAAGATTGATATTCAGAATAGAAGAATTAAGATTTGTTTGCATAAATACGTACATTCAAGGGGAACAGGGACACCATTTGAACACAAAAACAGAAGTCCAAATCCCACATTACACTGCCTCAATTTTGGTGAACATAGATAAAAAAAAATTATAAAAAATGGTGATAAAACCATTGAAATTGCATAATATCTTTGAAATCAAACTACTTCCTATACATGATCGAAAGAACATTTAGGTTGTGTTTGGATCTTGGATTTGAGTAGGAATTTGTAGAGGAAAAAAGAAAGGGGAAGGAAAATATGGGAAAAAAATAAATAAAGAAGCTTATGTTTCATTCATAATTCCCTTCCCTTTTTCTTTCTCTCTCCAAATCCCTCAACAAATCCAAGATTCAAACTGAGCGTCATGATACAACTGAAAACTAGGTGGCATGATCTAATTGTCTGTATGGGTTCCAAATGCCTTCTAATTCTACTTGTAAAATGCATGATACCTTTTTCATAATGGTTTCTTTCTTCCATGTATCAACACCCTTGAAAAAGGCCTTAGTTGATGTGACTGCAAACCACCATTTAAAATCAAGATAACTAGTGGAGCAGAATCCCAAGCAAGAAGAATTCAAAATGCAACCAATCATTACCTACAAAGAGAATAATTAGTAGAACTGTGACCATCCAGTCGGCAAAAACCACGTTGAAAGCAACACCAATACTAATACCCAGCATGAGCATTGGTTGGACAAGCAGCGCTAAGTCATAGTCAATGATGGGCATATCAAGTGTAGGATGCCTTAGCCTAAGATTGTAGTAAACAGTTGAAGTTGCTGCACCCATGATCATACCTAAACAAAAAATAATGCAAAAATCTATGAATACCATATTTACACGACCAGAGATGTTTAATGGAGTACACAAGTAAGCTTTCCCAAGAACCACTTTTTTTAATTTCCATGGGTGTTAAACCAATTTGAGAAAAAAGTTCTAGAAAGATTAAGTCATGTGAGGTAAATGACGGCTGCCAAAATGAGACTCTTGACTGTCTCCAAAAATTCAAAGTCTATTAAATTCGTCAATAACGTCAAAACAACTTAATTCACCTCAAATAAAATTGATGTCATGTTAATGCAATAAATTAACCATCGACAGTCTAAAAATAGTTTATGCTTAGAACTCGAAAAGTTTTACAGGCGAAGTCCCTTCTTCCGTTGTTAAGAATGAATCCAAAACCATATCTTAAGTCAACTCATTCAGCTTCTTTTATCTTATTGCCTTTTTATTTATATCAAACAAAACGATATTCAGACCTATCCCTTTTTTTCTATTTTTTCATAATCTACAAAGTCAATGGCAACAGGTCAATCCATTCATGTTGATTAAAAATATGCAAGTCTTCTCTGGAGATATTATGAAATGGATATATGTCTGTATCTTACATTTTGAGAGTGCAGTCGCAGATTTTGGATCAAACCCGATAATTAGACTGAGCATAGGAACAAATATTCCACCACCACCAACACCACCCACACTCCCAAATGCTGCTCCACAGAATCCAATTATGGTACCCAAAACAATCCTCACATCAAATTTCATTTCCTGCAAATCAAATTCAACAATTGTGCCCACTTAAAATTCCACTAATCAGTTCTTCGAATTTGCAGATAACCCCCTTGTGGTTTATGAACTGAAGTGCACCATAAAACATGCGGTTCAACTTAACAAGTGTGAAACACATGCCAGAAATAAGGGGATTATATCCTCCTTTTTCAAATTTCAAGAGGGTAAACCAAAAATGGAATAAAACATAAGGGGCTAAAGTGCATTTTGCCTCCTAAACAAACGACGAAAATATCCGTATTATATAAAGAGCTATTTTAGTCTTTTTTTAATTAAATTGTTAACGGGTGCAAACCACAAAGGGCTATGTGGTTATTTCTAAATTGGAGGGGTAATCCACAAATGGGTCATTCCAGAAGGGATGACAAAACAATGAACTGTGTATATACAAACAAGTTGATTAATTTTGCATACTCTTCTCTTCATCTATATAAATATGAAATTAGTTGATTAAAGGCCATCTTAATTAAAATTAAGCAAAATGAGTAATAGATTAACAATAGCAAATAAATAAACACAATAGTAGAATGTAATGAAACAGCATCACAGCAAAATAACATTGATGATTTTGACTTACAGGCCAAACATGTTGGTAACCCGATCGATTGGATTGCCATAAGAAATTCACAAACTGTGAAATATAAGCCGATTCTGATGATTCAGTCGGGGTATAGGTTGATGATTTCTGTTTCAAGCTTCTTTCAGCTGAAGCAATCATTGATGCCAATACAAAACTCGAAGATATCATCAATACCGATCTCAAAACCCTCCATTTCGCTCCAATTTCCGCCATTCAATTTCAACAATTCAATTTTTTTTAAAAAAAAAAAAATTCTTTTTCCCCTCTAAAAACTCCTTGTTCTTCACTTATCTCCCTCTCTCTCTCTCTTTCTCTCTCTCTATATATATGGCTCTGTTTCTCGGTCTAGAAGAGCGGGAACTGAGAATTGTACAAGAAGACGAGCTGTGATTTGCAGAGAAGTTCGCGGGAAAGAAATGCAGTAGTGAAATAACAAGGGAAACCTATGATGCAAGGAGATCCAGAGTAAAGGCCTGTTTGGTTGGCGAGAAAGCTCAGGAAAATATGAGAGGCATGCGGCAAAAGATACGAGGGAAATTCTCTATGAAGCAAGGAGAGAAACGAGCGTGAAAAGAAAATGGGAGAGAAAATTAAGGAGGGAACCAGGGCCTTTCTTTCTTTCCTTCTCTTTTTCTTTTTTTTTTGGGGTATGATTAACAATTTTTTTTTTCTAAAATAGTGTAATTATCGAGTTCAATTTTGTTAAAATGTAAATTCACATTGTGAGATTAATCAATTATATGAACCGTTTATCTTATATTATAAATTCAGATAGATGTGTATACAAAAAATTAATTGATCCAAATTAGTTTGTAATAAGTTAATTTCACTGTCAAGTTAAAGTTATCAATTTTAATAAATCCACAATTATCTTGAGCAAAGTGCGCCCCACCGACAATAACAATACAAAATAATGAATTTTTTTTTTTTTAGTAAAAAAAATTCATATTTTAATGCACAAAGCATAGATGTATTATTAAAAAAAATTTAAAAAAAATCTTTAAAAAAAATGACAAAAATGTATCATTATTTTATTTGTTATTTTTTTAAAAAAAAAATTTACAAATATTTTATGTTTTAAATATAATTAGATTAGGTGTATCTGAAAATTATTTAATTAGATTAGGTGTATCTCAAAATTATTTAAAAAATTAACTAAAGTATGAAAAAAAATGATAAATTTTTTTAAAATTATATTTTCATTTGAATACCAAACAAAGTAAGTAGTTATCAATTTTAATAAATCCACAATTATCTTGAGCAAAGTGCGCCCCACCGACAATAACAATACAAAATAATGAATTTTTTTTTTTTTAGTAAAAAAAATTCATATTTTAATGCACAAAGCATAGATGTATTATTAAAAAAAATTTTAAAAAAATCTTTAAAAAAAATGACAAAAATGTGTCATTTTTTTATTTGTTATTTTTTAAAAAAATTTCTTTACAAATATTTTATGTTTTAAATATAATTAGTTTAGGTGTATCTTGAAAATTATTTAAAAAATTAACTAAAGTATGAAAAAAAATGATAAATTTTTTTAAAACTATATTTTCATTTGAATACCAAACAAAGTAAGTGATTATTTTATACAATTATATTTTGACCAATAACAAGGTCTGCCATGTTTTTTATACTATTTAGTGTTTGTTTGGCATGTAGGTTGATTTTTTGGATATTTTTCTCGTATAGGATAGATTTTTTTGACTTTTTTAACTTTTGTGAGAGAAAAAATAAAATGATTATGAGTTGAACGTGAAATTTTTATCTTATTTGACTAAAATAACATATTTTGTTCTATATGACTATTTTAGCCCAAACAATCATCCCAAACGGGGCTTTAGAAAGAATAACAGGCCAATGGATATAAGAAAAATATTTACAAAATAGTTAGGATTTTTGCGGTGTAAATTTTTATTGTACTTTTTAATAAATTAAAAACTTGTACCCTTACTGTGAAGGGAAGATATATGAGCCTAGACTCAAGCCTAGGCACGCTAGCCCAAGCCGAAAATAATAAGAGTAAAACACATTCTTTGAAGTTCACAAAGGACATCTAGCAACAACTTGTCATCTAATTAAGGCGTGTGGGGATAAAGCAATTAGGAGTGTGCACGGTACGGGTCGGTACGGTTTGAAAAAAAAATAGAAACCTTATGGCGGGTGGCGAATTGATAAAAGTGTCACTAGAATTTGTTATTTTCCTTATCAAAAACCGGCGGTTCGGTTGGCAAATAATGGCGGATTTGCCTTGGCGGTTCGGGCGGATTAGCGGTTTATAAAAAATATAATTCAAATTACACCGCCGTTAAAGGCTGTAAAACCGCCGTTAAAGCCTTTAGCGGCGGTATTAACGGCGGTTTTGTTACCGCCGTTTATGCGCGTGTCGGAAAAAGTACAATCGTTGTAAAAAGATAAATTACCGTCATTAAAAGTCGACCAAAAACGGCGGTAACATAGGACCAAAAACGGCGGTTTTTTACCGCCGTAAATAGGTTTAAATTTTTCAAAAAATAATTCTTTCTTCTTGCACTCCCCAAGTCTTGAACCCTCAACCTCTCATCCACCCACACTAACCACTCTACCATAGCCACTCTTCATGAAATATATTCCCTAAATAAATATTTAAACATTACTTTTACTTTATTGTAGATGGTTTCACCGGAGCTCGCCGAGTTTTGCCGGAGCACGCCGGAGTTTCGCCAGCAAAGACCACCGTCATAAACGGCGATAATGATTGGGCATTAGCGGCGGTTTTGTTACCGCCGTTAAAAGTGGGCATTAACGGCGGTTTTTTTAACGGCGGTAACAAAACCGCCGTTAATGATACCTTTAACGATGGTTTTCGTTACCACCGTTAATAATACCTTTAACGACGGTTTTCGTTACCGCCGTTAAAAAAATCACCGTTAATGCCCTGTTTTAGCGTAGTGCGAGAAATATTTTATTGTGCTGACTCGATGTCAGAGGGTCCTCCCAACCAATCTTGATTGGGAGTGATCACTGACGTTTGATTGCTCTTCGTAGAATGTAAAGGATTTGACGCATCATTTCGCTTTTTTCTGTGGAAATAATTTCACATTCCACACTTATTTGTAAATTTTTTAGGACACTCCAGTCCTATTTTTGAAACTGTTACTCCAATATGTTCAAGTTTAAATTTGTTTTGGCCAAAAGAACATTATCTATCCAAAAAGATAACTATTATGTTCAAAAGTTTACCAATCTGTCTATCTATTCAAATGTCACATATTTGTATACGTGTCACCTATTTGTTCAAATATGTATACGTGTCACTTATCTATTCAACTATCTATCAAATGTCCAACTATCTATTCTAATATTTACATGTGTTACCGATATGTTCAATACTACCTATCTATTCACCTCACCGCCACTAATCACCATTGTCGGCAACTTTCCAACTAATTTTTTTGATGATTTTTTCACACTTATTCTTATCACAAAAAAATTAAATATTAGATTAAATAACATATAAACTTATAAAAATGAATTTTTCACCAATTAATTGATTTTTTTGCTTTGGTGTTGAATAGTAGTTCTATTATTTATCGACTAGTCACATGAATAATCAACACAAATTCTCATAAAAAGGTATAAAGACTGACCCAACTTTAGAGTATCTCCAATACTTACTCTCTCTTTTTTTCCATCAAATTTGAGTAAAGATTTGAGTTAAAAAATTCATCTAATATCAAGCGTTCCAATACTAAATTTTCAATTTTCATCAAACAATCGGTCTACCTATTTATGTAAATTTCTCTCTATTTTTGCAAGGACAATCGGCCGGACAACAAGTGTACTGTGACGCTCTAACAACTACTTGCAACAATAACGGTTATCTTTTCCAATTTGACGAAACGCTCAAGACTCTCTCAATTTGATAAAAATTTTAAATTTTCCCCCATTTGATATAGGTTTGAGTTCACAGTTGAAGCAACAAAACTGTACCTAGTTCAACAAATTTAAGTTTGACGAGAAAAAAAGGTAAGCGTTAGAGACACTTTTACACGAGATGACTCATCATAAATGACTAAATGATAAAAGGTAGTTCGGAAATACGGGTAAGTTTTGTATTTTATAGGTGATTGCTATTCGCACTCCTCTTTTTTATAATTACACTCTATATTTTGTTTTAGCATAAAAAATTACGTATGACACAGTCTTCAATGCACACTAAGTGACAAAATTTGGTGTGTGATTATAAAAAAATGAGTGCCAATAGCAATCCCTATTTTATATTGACAATAAATATATATATATATATAGCTACTCTGTCTGTTTGGAAATTAGCAAAAAGTACACTTGAGTCAATTTGATCAAAAACTGCTTCCAAATAAGGTAAGTAGAAGTTTTTAGTGATTAAAAAATACACTAGAGCTTCTTTCTTTCTTTTTTTATTAAAAAATAGATATGTAGATAAGCTATTTCACATATTTATCAACAAGCATTTCCCCTTAATATTTAGAGACATTTGTCGAAACCAACACCGCACTTACGTTAGGACTGAAACTAAGATTCCAATGTATTCTAAGTAATAAGAAGTAGGTGTAACCCCAATAATCTGTTATGGGGAAAACTTGAACCTAGGCGTTGAACGAGATAGATAAACTCCTTACCACTGAACCAATAAATCATTGGTAAAATACACTAGAGCTTCATAGTTACTTTGAAAATTGAGAAAATTAAATTTAGATTTTCGCTTAGTATGCATATGTGTGGCACTACAACAAAAATATACTTTAGTGGCACTACGCTAGTGGCATATTTTTAGAAAATGTCACAAAAAATGATATTTAGTGACACGTTTTTGAAAAATGTCACAAAACGACAAACATAAAAGGCTCTAGTGACATTTCAATGAACAAGTGTCACAACGCTATAACAAAAACATATTTTAGTGACACCATACTAGTGGCATGTTCTTAAAAAATGTCACAAAAAGAATATTTGGTGGCATTTTTTAGAAAAATGTCATAAAGCCACAAACATACAAGGCTCTAGTGGCATTTCAATTAAAAAAAGTGTCACTTCACTACAACAAAAATGGCACTACAAAAACTTTTTATGAATATTTGCAATGGCTTTTTTTAAAAAATGAGTAGGTGCAAATTACTTTTTATGGCACTTAGGTGAAAAGTGTCATAAACAAATATTTTATAGTATTTTGAGAAATGTCACTAAGCCAAAAACTTTCCAAGCTTATAATGACATTTTTGAAAAAATAAAAAATGCCAATATATTTTCTAAATTTTTAAAATGCAGTAAATGATTAAAAATAAATGAATTAAACTCAATATACACTGCAGGAAAAAGCATATTCGGCGACTAAATTTCTTGACCAAAAAAATTTGGTCGCTGAAAGTATTGCTCTCAGCGACCAAAACAGCATTAGTTGCCAAAAGTAAAGTTTTTTGGCGACTAAACAATTTTAGTAGCCAAAAGTCTACAATTCGTGACTAAAACTAAGTTTGGTCGCTGATTATATGGGTTTTAGTGACTAAAAAATTTTTAGAAGCCCAAAGTAAAACTTTTTGGCGACTAAAAAAATTTAGTAGCCAAAAGTCTACAATTGGCGACTAAAAATAAGTTTGGTCGCTGATTATATGGGT